TAGTACTGTTATGTTGTCTAAAAGCCAACTTCTGAATATAATCTTTTTAGTTTCTTTTCTTTTTTTAAGATTTTTAAAATTTATTTATTTGACAGAGAAAGAGAGAGCACAAGCAGGGGAAGCAGCAGAGGGAGAGGGAGAAGCAGGCTCCCCGCTAAGCAGGGAGCCCAATGTGGGGCTCGATCCCAGGACCCTGGGATCATGACCTGAGCTGAAGGCAAACACTTTAACTGACTGAGCCACCCAGGCACCCAGAATTTTTTTAGTTTCAAGTACACCACCCCATATACCACATTACTTGCTCTTAAAAAGATATGATAGTGGCCATTCTCCATCATCCCTTTATTCACTATATATAAAGGGTTTTTTTGCCCTAAAACCTATTCCCATTCCCTAGCGGTCATTTTTTATTGCACTCAAGTTCTACAAACGCAAAGTTGGGCTGTGGTTTCATAGACGCTATAAAGGAAATACAGAAACAACCCTGGAACTTCCACAGCCTGATTTCCTTGGATTGAAAATGTAAACAGACCCTGAAACAACAGGGTCTGATGGCCCCAAAGCAAGATTTTCATTAAGAGAAAAAAAATAAACTATTTTCTGAATTTTATTTGGTCATTTCTAATTTTCTTTCTATATTAAGTAGGCAAAACAATGCTAATATGTGACCCTTGTGATTAATTTAAAATCCATTATGCCTACAAACATAACTTAGGCTCCAAAATAACTTTCCTTTGTCAGATTAACCAACTACTAGGTAAACTAATTCATGAAAATTGAAATAAATGGGATGCTATTATCTCCACTTTTGAGAGCCTGACCTCTCCAAGTGTGGTTTGGGATCAGCAGCATTGGCACCCTTGGGAGCCTGTTAGAAACATAGATTATTGGGCCTCCTTGGGACCTGCTACATCAGAACTTGCATTGCAATAAGATTCCCACAGAAATTTGCTGTATGTCTAGCCAGAGAACTGCTCGAAAGCACCACAGTCCGGTATTTTCTGTAATTATGGAAATGTTCTCTATGTGTGCTAATATGGTAGCCACTAGTCACATGTGGCTACTGAGCATTTGAAATGTAGCTAGTCCAACTGAGTAACTGAGTATTTAATTTTAATTCATGTTAATTAAAAAGATATATAGTGAATGGTACCCCACTGACCGGTATGGCTCTCTAGCGAATCCATGTGCACCTGTGAGCAAAGGGTCAAGAAGTGACCACTACAGCCAAATCTGCTAATCCAGCAACACAGAGCACAACTCACCTGTCGTTCCAACATGCAGAACGACTTGAAGAAAGACCAGTCCTCTTCAGCTGCTCTCCCAGAACATCAGGTATGGAGCATGGATCTCCAGATGATACTGTGACCATTCTGCTTCCTTTCTCAATCAGGTTTCCAAAATTTACCCCTCAGCTCTAGAGTTTCCATACTGATTTCTTTGAAATCTTACTACTGGACAAAAAAAATGAGTCCACCAGCCTTTGATGAGAGAGCTTCCAGGCTGTGGGGCACCTGAGGCCTGATGATCCTCAAGGGTACAGTACATGAACACACTGTTGGCAGTGGGGAGTGGTGGAGGGCCCAGAGCTTGCAACAGATTTTTATGACCCAAACGCTGGTTAAGAACCCTGGGAGGAAGGAAGAACTCTGGAGCCTGACAGTCTTGACAGAGGGCCCTCAACCCTGTCTAATAACCCTCATAAACCCCTCATAAAGGTAGTCAAAGAAGAAAATGAAATAAACTATGTAGAAACTGTAAAATGTTGTAAAATTTATTATTATAAAAAAACAAGACTGCATGATAGAGCAAAATATTCAGACAATCCCTGGCAAATGAGATAAAAGTTTCTGCCTTACTCGTCTCACACAAAAAATGAATAAGCACATCATCAGTGAACGGTTCCAAATCAGAAAACACAGAATGTACCTTCTCCAGGAAGAGCTTAGGGTATAGCTGAAGTTCAGAAGATCATTCAAAAAGACTGGTTATCTCTCACATAGTAAGTCTCCAGCTGACTTGGGCTGAATCTAAACTAAGCGGTGTATTCCAAACACCCTTACAGTCCACTATCTGTGTAGCCCAAAGGAAAAACAATACACAGTTCACTATTCCAAGACAATTCAGCTATAATGACAAAATGAATAAGGCACAAGCACTTGGAGCTGCCTTCCAAATAATGCAGAAAGGTGTAAGTAAGAATTCTGGTTTAAGGAGAGTAGGTGTGCTTTCCCTCTTTAAACACACTTACGGTGACAAAACAGTTTGAAAGGTCCTCGCATGTGAGATGAAAAATTCTTTCTTGCTAGACAGTTGAGCTAAACTGACTCCAGGGGCTACAAAGGGTTCAGCAGGCGCACTGAGAGAGAGGGCAGGGTCAGAAAGACTTGCAAAAGCCTCACCCCGTTTGTTGATCAGGACAGACACAATCTGCTTCCCCTCCCAGGTTGATAACCTACCAGGCTGCAGAGTTTACTATGAGGAAAAGACCCACCCAAGCTATTTGCTCCAGAGTAAAGTGATCCCTGTGAGAACTGAAGACTGTTGTCTGGACTTGGGTGACTTTTAGGGCTTTGAGTTCAGACTGTTGTCTGAACTTGGGTGACTTTTAGGACTATATCCAAAGAAGTGGGGCAGATCTGAAGCTTCTAAGTCTCAAAATAAAAGACCCAGGGGCCTTTCTACCTCAGAAAGAAACCAGGAAACACCTAACAACCATGTTGTCATGCATATATAATGTCCCACTATTCAATTTCCTAGCCTTAAAAGAAAAAAAAAAAAGCTATCTTCAAGAATAGCAAGAAAGACGTGACTGACTGTACACCATTCTAAAGTCTATCTAGGGGAGGTCTGGATTGCTATAAGAAAAAAAGTGTAGCCTTGGGGCTGTAATGGGGTGACAAATGCTTGAGGAAGGCCACACTCGAGCGGAGCTCACTCCTTAAGCAGCTCCCTGTCTAGAACAGAAGGAACTCAGAGAGCTCCACAAACACTCAAAGCACTGCCTCTTGTGGCTCCTGTGTGTGAAGAGCCCACTTTCCCCCCATGGCTCCTCCTAAACCTTCCAGAATCTTTAGTGCCACAAACTTTACTATATGCTAGGTGCCACGCATTGTGCACAGCCCTGGGAATACAAAGGAAAATAGGATAAAGCCCCTGCTCTCAGACTAGTCTAGCAGACAGGGCATCACACAAGGGCACCCTCTCCTGGCCCATCTTTTTTTTTTTCTGCCAGTGCCAGTTATCACTTCTACTCAGCACACACCTGTTATGACAGCTATTTATAAATTAGTCTCCCACACATTCCCACTTCTCAATGAGCTCTGAGAGGGCAGAGAACCTCTTAGCCATCTTGGTTTCTCTAGCACCTAGCACAGTGCTCCAACAAGTAGAATGAACATAGTAAGGGAGGAGGGGGATAACACTCTTAACTTTTCAGATAAAGGCTATGAAACTGCAGAGAGTGGACAGTCCACTAGAAGCAAAGGAAAGTTTGAAGAACAAATGCATGCTGAATCCACCTTTTCTTTGTCTCCTCCTTCCTGTGACTGCTGCTCACTTGGCTTTGGCATAACCCCGCCTCCCTAAAGGGCTCTAGTGACTGCACAGTCCACACAACCATACCCTGGTCCCATCCCCAGGGATCATCCTTCACCCCCAAACAGGCCTCATTCAACAAGGCCTCATCCTCCAAAAGGACTTCGGTCCTTTCCTATTTTCTAATAATTTGAGCAGACCCCAAACACAATGGATTGCCTTGTGAAGCAGATTCTACCATTCCTGGCTGGATGACAAGTGGTGGGTAGAGGTAGGTAAGATAGGTCGTCTTTTTTTTTTTTTTTTTTAAGATTAAAAAAATTATTTATTTGACATAGAGAGAGCACAAGCAGGGGGAACAGCAGGCAGAGAAAGAGGAAGAAGCAGGCTTCCCGCTGAGCAAGGAGCCTGATGCGGGGCTCGATCCCAGGACTCTGGGATCATGACCTGAGCTGAAGGCAGACACTTAACCGACCGAGCCACCCAGGCGCCCCAGGACAGGTTGTCTTAAAACTGCTTTGATTCTTCTCACTGCAATTGAAATAAAATCCAAACTCCTTCCTGAGACTTGTGGGCCCCGTGTGGTCTGGTTCCAACCTCTCTGCAAATTGAACTCAGGACTTTAAGTCTCGGGCTCTGCTTTCTTCCAGCTCTTTCCCACCTCGGGGCCTCTGCAAGTGCTGTGTTCTCCACATCTGACTTCCCATAGCATGCTACTCCTTTTCTTCGAGGTTTTCTCACAATGTATACTTAGTTTTTGCTACTTACTTTCTCTCCCTCTACCTATGAGCTTGAGAGCAGGGACTATGTCAGCACCCAGCTGGGTGCCCCCCACACAGTGTCTAATAAATATACGCTCAGTTAACAAAAAGGCGGCTCTCCATCCTTCCACCCAGCTCCCCTACTAACTTTTCCTGATGGTTCACACACCAAATCACCCCCATCTCCTCATTCCTGAGTCCCACTGCCCACAACTCACTCTCCATTATCTGCTCTCAAAACTTCCCACCTCAGAAGTCCCACTAATGCATCCATTTAGCAGTCCATCCCTCACAAATCCTCTCTCTCAGCCCTTACAGCCCCCTGCTCTCCTCTTATCCCTTACATTCCATAAACCCCGAAACCGCCTTTCACCATACACCCCCCCATCCACACACTCCCCTTAAACCCATTCCTCTCGCCCCAGGATGGGCCCCTAAAACCCATCACCCGCTGCTTAGCCCCATAAGCCTTTCAATCCGTCGCATTTGACCTCATAAATCTCCTCGGCCTCAGAAATCCCCTTCAGTCCTCCCCGAGTCCCCACATCTCCCCTCCCCGCTCCCCGCCCACAGATGCACCCCCCCCCACCCTGCACCCTCCTCACCCCTCGGGCTCCCTGCCAACTTGGCCCTGGCCCCTGGGCCCGCCCCCTTCTCTGCCGTGACTTGGGGTGGCCCCGCCCCGTCGAGCCCGCGCAGCACCTGGCCTGCGCCTCTTCCAGGCTCTGGTCGGTGATGGCCATGATCTGCTGCAGGACCTCGCCTGTGTCGGGGCCCGGAGGGGGCCCGGGCGGCGGGCGGCGCGGGGCCGGAGGAGGCGGCGCGGGGCGCTGCGGGGAGTCCATGGTCGGTGGGGCCGGGAAAGCGCTGAGAGGGATCCGCTGGGCCTGGAGCGCTCACAAGGGCGCCGCAGCCAACCACCGCCACTCGCGCGCTGCGCGCGCGCGCCCCAAGCCCCACCCCTCTCCACCGCTTCCAGCCAACCGCCGCCAGCCAGGAGGCCGCGCACCGCCCACGGGCACGCCCCTAACAGCCCCTTTCAACGGCCCAGGACTCGGTTGGGAGTTGCCGAGGCGACAGCTCTTCGCACCCACACCCTCATCCTTCCACCCCCATATCTCCTCCTCCCTCACCTGCTCAGAGCACTGATTCCTGCTTAGAGACCTTAATCCGTCTTAGGGCCCCTCACATCTCCTCACAGCCCCCACACCTCCTCAGAGAGGTCCCGCATTTCCTCAGAGACGCTCAAGTCTCCTCAGAGAACCCCCCATCTCCTCAGCGACCTCTACTCCCCACCAGAGCTCCCACTCCTCCTGAGCCCCCATTCCTCCTTAGAGCCTTCACTCCTCACAGGTCTCCATTCTTCCTCAGTGTCCCCATATCTCAAATCCCCCCACCTCCTCTGGAACCCACACATCTCTTCCGAATCCCCACTTCTCAGGGTACCCCACTTTTCCTTCAAGCCACCCCTTCCTTCTCAGAAATCCGATTCTCAGATCCCCACCAACACCCACCATTAATCTCCAGAAGCCTTGAGCCCCAGACCCCTCCTCAGTCCCCTAATGGTCCCCTCAGTCTCAGCCCCATCAGATGGGTCACTAGGGCTCCCAGCCTCCCGGCCCTTCCCCTTGGAACTTTCCGCGAGGGGTGCAGGTGTGTGCGGTGATGGTGGCTGAGTGATTTTCTCAGCTGCACAAATCAGTTCTCCTTTCAAGGTCCGGCTTATAAATGACCTCGGTTTTATTCATTCTCTCCATTTACTGCAATCTGGACCTAGAATGCCCAAGCCCGCGGTCACTGAACTACTGAAGGATGCTTCCTGAGGGTCTCCTCTGAGGTGTACCCCAAGTAAGAGTGAATCTCCACAAGTCTTTGTTTCTAGCCATTAGAACTCATGGCGTCAGGGAAGGATCGTCGTGTGAGAGAAAAGGAACGGACTGGACGTGAATCACTTCTCCAAAGTCATTGGGACCTGCCGGAGCCTGTTTGCTTTGAGGGCAGATTCCAGATGCAGGCTCATAAAGGGTCCTCAGCCTCTCTGGGAACCCTTCAGGGCAGGGCCCGTCTTCTTCCCATTGCTGCTGGAGAGGAAACTCAAAACATCTGGTGTGATTGGATTGGAGGACTCCAAAAAAAAAGACAGCAGGGAATGGAAATGAGTGATTTGGGCCAGTGTTAGGAACCACTTTGAAAGCTCCCTGATTAAGGAAACCCAACACTGGGCCCCAGTTAGAGGAAGTACTAGAACTTGTGGGGCCCATGGAGAGCTGTTGCCCTGCGCAAAACTTCAGCCCTGCACAGGAAGCGTAAAAGTTGTGGGTAATTTTGGTGTTCTTCAGAGAACAGTGGTTCTCTGAACATGGGGCTGAAAGCTTTAGGGACCAAAGCTTGAAGGGTGGAGAGACCTACAAGGGAGGGAAAAACCAATGGGACAAGATGCCAAAGGAGACCAGAGGAGTGTGGGTTAGAACCTGGGGGAAGCTGATGTAAGAGCAAGTGAAACACAGAGCTGCTTTTGGGAGGACTTCGGGGTCCCCACCCCATAGGAATTGGCTTTGGCACCCAAAGTGTCTGTCTGTCCAATAGGCCTGGAGCTTCACAGAAGCAAGGACTGCATCTTTCATGGTCCTATGCCCAGGCCCATGGTGTACAGGGCTCACTTGGGTCACCATCTCTGGAGATTCTGGCCTCAGGCCCTGGAAGTCCTGCTGTCCATCTTGGATCCTGAAGTACCCAGCAACCCAGTTCATTCTTGCCTCCACACAGAGCTGTCTTAGGGCAGGGGAAGTTTTCTCCAAGGGAAACCTAGCCCCATTTAATGTAGAAGGACTTCGATGTTTTTGGTTCTTCCACGATGTGTACTTTAGTGGTTTAAGAATTTGGCCTCTAATGGGAGGCCTGAGTCCACATTCTAGCTGTTATTTAGCATGTGAACCTTGAGTAGAGCTATAACCCTGTCTCCTCCCTGGTGAAGTGGAAGCAGAGAATCCAGATTCTGGTCTACACTGTACCTGGCAGGGTGCCTCCATGAGCATCTGAGAGGGGGCTCATCATGGCATGTCTGAAGACTTGGGGGGCTGTGAGGTGAGGTGAGGAAAACCAGGCTGAGGTCATGACCAACTTAGGACATTGTGGGGATCCAAAACTCTTTCTCCAGGGGCCTCTCTAGTCCCTTGATTCATCTCTGTGACCTTTGGAAGCTGTGTAACCACAGGCCAGACTGCAACCTCTCTGAGCCACAAAGTGTGCATCTGCACCACAGGATGCAAGTAATGATTAAATAATGTACCTACAGTGCTTATCAGTGTGCCAGGCACATCCGAGGAGTTTAAGAAATGGCAGCTCTCAAATTCTGCCTCCTGCTCCACGGGCTCCACTCCCCCTGGCCCGTAGGTATGGATGGATGTAGGTGCTGGGGTGCGCAATGGGATGGACACGCCTGACTGTTAATAACCCGGACCCAGACGAAAGGGCAGGCAGGAGAAAGAGGGCTCACGCAGGTCAGAGACCACTGTGGGCTCCAGAGGACAGAGAGAGATGGGGGCAGGGAGTTAGAGGCAGGGGGACACGCAGAACGGATGCAAGACCTCCAGTAAGAGAGATGGAGAGGGGCGCCTGGCTGGCTGTCAGTAGAGCCTGCCACTCTTGATCTAGGGGTTATGAGATCAAGTCCCATGTTGTGTACAGGATTTAAAGAGAGAGAAAGAGATGGAGTAACAGCCGTGCAGAGCTCAAGAGGAAAGAGAACAGGGCTGAGGAGATCCCAGCCTAGCCCGAGCTGAGGTGGACAATTCTGGAACACAGGGACAGAGGGACTATCTGAGTTGATGACAGAAAATGCTCTGGAGACCTCAGTGGAAAGAAAGGTTTACTCCTTATATCATATGCTCTCCCCACAGACCCCCCTCAATTCTAATTGGACAGGCAGGACCCCAGAGGCTGCAAGGGGCCACAAACCTTTTCCCAGCTCATGCTCAGGACCCCTCAGTCTGTGCCCCTAAAGAATCAGCTTCAGGCAGATGGTGCATCCATGGGCCATCCTTGTCACCCTGTCGCACTGGGCAGAGTGGCCTGAGAGAGCCCTCATGTCCCCCATCTTTAGCACCCACACTACCACAGACAAGGAAGCGGTCCACAGGGTTTACCAGGGATGTGCAGTAAAGATAGAAAGTGTCAGAAAACTCCACAACCTGAGATGATTGAAGAGCCGATTCCTGAACCCCCTCTGACTCTCTCCTGGGCATTTAGAGATGACCCCACACCCCCGGGCCCCGGGGGCAGGCAGAGCTGTGGGCCTGGGGAAGGCTGGCAGGGGCGTCGTGCCACGGCAGACTGAGGGTCTGTCCTGCAGCTTAGGTAGAGCCCGGTGCGTTTGCAAGCAGGCGGGGGCTATACTGTGGCATGTGCAGCACCCCACTGAAGTCCCAGGCTGGCTAAAGGGTGGAGTCCATCAGGGGGTGGCCATTCTCTGGAAGCATGATGCGAGTGCTGGCACCTGTTCGGGTGGAGGGTGCGTAGCGGGCAGACTCGTGGGTGGACCGGCGAAGGCACAGACCGCAGAGGAGGCGGCGGAAGGTGCGGCGCATCTCAGCATCTCGGCATGAGTACACCACGGCATTGACCAGTGAGTTGGCCTCAGCCAAGAGTAGGAAATACTTCTCCACGGCCAGAACGTTGCAGGACTTGCAGCCCAGACCGTCCAGGAGCAGCACCACCTGGCCTGGCGTCCAGCAGACCACGAACGCCCCTGCAGGATGGAGCCTGAGGTGAGCGGGGCCAGCTCTGGGGGCCCAGCACCCACAGCTCAGAGCTCAGGGCTGGGGCGGGGGGTCCTCCAGAGCTCAGACAACAGCTGTGTAGTTTGCAGGGCCACAGCAGCCTGACAGCTTTCTCTGATGTGTCTGCCACAAAGGGATGCCTTTCCTGACTGGTACATGGTAGACAGGGCGCTGGACATTTCTACATGGAGATTTGTTCTGTAGGGGAAAGGAGGTCACTGTGGGACAGGCCAGTTACCAGGTGGGGGAAAGAGGGGTCACGGGGAAGAGTCACTCCTTGTTCTTGGGGTAGGGGCGTGTATCCTCGCGGGATGCACGTGTCGCCTCCCCCACTCAGACCACTCTACAGCCAGACTGACCTTATCGCTCCCTGCTCAGAACTCGGGAGGGCTTCCCATGGAACTCAGAACAAAATCTGACTCTTGCCTGTGCCCTCGAGGCAGTGCTGACCACCTCTCCTGCTTCTCTCCAGCCACTTGGGCCTCCTCCTCCTCCTCTTATTTGGGGGCATTTGGCCCGGTCCTGCGGGGCTCTCACCTTCTGTTCCCTCAGCTTGGAACTCTTCCCTTCCCCAGCATTCAGGTCTCTGCTCAAATGTCCCCTCCTTGGAGAACATTCCCCACCCAAATGATCCCCTCCCATGTCTCGTGGGAGTCAGGGGGCAGCAGGGTTCCTGCAACCCTGGGCCAGCTGAGGGCACTCACTCACCCAGGATAATGACAACGGTCTTGACCAGGCTGAGTGTGGTCTCTCGGTAGCGGGGGTGGCAGCTGACGTGCTCCGCCATGCGCTGCACCCTCCGCCTCACATAGAAGAAAATGCGGGTGTAGACAGCCACCATGAGCAGGAAGACAAGCAGGCTGGACAGGGCCCAGACAGCCAGGTAGGAGCGGCTGAGCAGAGGGGCCATGCGTGAGCAGCGGTCCAGGGCACAGAGGCAGTGCCACGAGTGGGCGGGCAGCAGCCCCAGGCCCAGCGCGGACACCCACACCCCCACGATGAGCAGGACGACACGGCCGCGGGGCAGGCGGCTGTGCAGCTGCACGGCCATCACGCTGCGGTGCCGC